TCTTTTCAATCTAATCTTGGTTGAACCCACGGATGTGGAACCCACGGATGTGGAACCCACGGACATAGTAGCCTGATGGTATTTCCCTGCTTCTATATACCCTTATTACTAAACATATACAAAGAGCAAGCTGTATTATTATCAGGGGAAAAAAGTGATAGGGAATCTTAAAATATACTACAAAAATGTTTATAAAAATAATTTTCTAAACTTAGAACATCTCACCCTTCTAATATTAAGAAAAGCAAGATGACAAAGACATAACTAAGAAAGAATCTCTTACAAGAGGTTGTATCAGGGGTATTAGAAAAATACCAAACAGGCTAAGCAACTAAATAAACAGAAACCCAGGGAGTAAGAAATATTTCAAGGTCTCCCTTTAAAAAATCAAAAGAAAAGGAAGCTAATGATGCCATTGCAATAGGTTTCCTTCATTACCTTCTTCCCCTTTCCCTAATCAGGTAAGAATCTCTTGGAAACTTGTCCACCTGGTTTTTATACTAAGTCTACCTATGTTAATTGTTTAGGGGAAAATATAATTTAGAAAAATAATACCACTCTTCATTTAGAGGGAAGGAACCATGGCTTGTAGCAACTGCACAGTGAAATGGTCCAGTTTTTATTCTCAACCCCACATGGTAGGCTGATTCTTCTAAGTGCTCATTACATCTTTCTTGATGGGATGAATCACATGCTCTCCACAAACTAGCTGGCCTCTTTATTCACAGCAACATCAACTTAATAAGAAGGACCAAAGAGGTGGCAAGATGATTTAAGTATTCATGCCAATTGAAATACTCCTCCCCAAGATAAAATATTAACTATACATTAACTCCCAAATGAAAATACAGCCTCTAGAAAAAAACTTTCCAGACAAAGGAACAAAATGTTACCTAAAACAGTTGGAAAAGGCAGTCAGCCACAAAATACAAGACACAGAGGTGAGTATTTCAAAGCACTTTGAAAAAAGCCACAACTCGCCTACTTTCTCCATCTCACCAGGAAAATTATTAAGAAATCCAGAAGCCCATGGAACCCTTGGCTGCTTCAAGTCCTCAGCCAGTTGAGCATCACCATCATCTGTACACCCTGCCCACTAAGCCTAACAGTGGAATGAGATTATGACCACTTTTTCAACAAGGAGGACTCCACCTCTCATTCGTGGTTTTGAGCCAAAGGAGAGAGTCTGACATGGTAGTGCTCTAACATATCAGAATGCAACTTTCCTGCTTAAAAACAAGAGATTTTAATTGATTGGTAACATTATTCTAAAATAATTCACTCTGCTATTTTAACTTGGAAGACTATAAACCACTTAACTATTTAGATGAGTTATTTAAGAATGCTAACTTATTTCAACCACTAGGGATCACTAAATCAGAGGGCTATGAATGCACAACTAATTTATTTCTACCATTTTATATAGAAAACCTGAACCACTACACACACATAAGAATTTATAACATCTTAAAGCATGACAGCATAGGTAAGCTCTCATGGGCTTAACAGAAATAAACTGAATGCTTTGTGCCTAAGCAGCAAGTATGCTTTCCTTCCTTCTGAATACTGAAAAGATGAAAAGTCTTTTTATAACTAAAAATAAGATACTATTTAATCATATTTATATATGAGCTCTCAGACTAAAATACAAACAGCATAAAACGCAGACAGCAAGATTAGTATTTGAAGAGTAAAGCCAAAGAAAATTCAAAAGACTAATTCGTTACACATTACTATTCAAGTATATTGTATGCGAATATCACTTCCTCTAGAAATACATATGTAGATCAAGACCTTTCTTACGGGAAAGCGAGGGCATCTGGCTACATTAAAAACTGCTCCATGCTAAGTAAAAAGACTGTTGAATATGTAACAATTTTTAAGATAAATATTATATTTATGGATGTCTCACAACACCAATACTTATAATGTGAAAGAAAGGAAAAGAGCATGAATGTTCAAAATCAAGAGAAAACAGAGTACATCCTACAATGAATCTTTTACACTCATTAAAATATTTGTCATAAAATTCACACCGGGGAAATCCCTATGAGAAATAATGTTGAAATAACCAGGATGGAAATATGTGAACATAGCATGACTACAACGTGTGTGTGTGTGTGTTTGTGTGTGTGTGAGAGTGTGTGTGTGTGTGTCTGTGTGTGTGTGTCTGTGTGTGTGTGTCTGTGTGTGTGTGTCTGTGTGTGTGTGTGTCTGTGTGTGTGTGTCTGTGCGTCTGTGTGTGTGTGCGTCTGTGTGTGTGTGCGTCTGTGTGGGTGTGGGTGTGGGTGTGGGTGTGTGGGTGTGTGTGTGTGTCAATGCTGGTTGCTGTTGGGTTCTGGAATTATGAATAATTTATTTTGTTCTATTCTACAAGTTTGACAAATTTTCTATAATGATAGAAGGATGTTATTTAAAACAATGTCAGGCTGGGCATGATGGCTCATGTCTGTAATTCCAGCCTTTGGGAGGTGGAGATGGAAGAATCACCTTAGTCCAAAAGTTTGAGACCAGCCTGGACAACAGAGCAAGACCCTGTCTCTACAACAAATTAAACAGTCAGCCAGGTGTGATGGCTAGTGCCTATAGTCCCAGCTACTTGGCTGGGTAAGGCAGGAAACTACTTGAACCTGAGAGGAAGAAGCTGCAGTGAGCTGAGGTCGCACCACCGCTCTCTAGCCTGGCGGGGGAAGGGGGGGAAGGGTCAGTGGTGTGGTTAATTGGCAATGAGGGTCTCAGCGTTCTCCTGACACGTCTTCCTGTGCTGCAGAGGCTTTAAGGCTAATGCTGTATAAGGGTCTAGATACAAACTGGACTCCACCTACTCACATTCAGCAGCATGAGATTTTAATAGTGGTGTGAAACTGAATTCTCCTGGGCTGTTATGACAGGCAGCATTTCTGGGCTGGGTCTCCAGCTTCACATTGACAGAAGCAAGGTGAATACACCTGGAGGCAGGGCAGTGCGTAGTGTGCAGTAGGCAGGCTCGGGCGGGAGGAGTTGAGGTCCCTGGACTGCAGCACCTCCTTCACCACGACAGCGGAGAGGGTAGCTCCACAGGCAAGCCACATCTACATTACTGCATGGTTATAAAGGTTCTCCAGACCACAATGTAGGACCTTCTCTGCAAACACTTCCAGTGATTTTGTAAGAAACAAATTCTAAGTGTTAAATCCCTTTTGTAAAAAAATGTTTTATGATAAAAACAGGTTCTGTTTGCTACAACTGAGTCTGGCGCGCACACATCCAAGATGTTGAATGATTTGAAAGGAAAACCATAATGACTTCTGACCATAATGACTTCTGAAGTCACAGGGCTTCAAATAGTTGAAAACCTAGTTAAAAACATTCTTCACTGCCAACTTGACTTGTCTGCGCATTTGTGAATATCTATGCAAATTAAATTAGGTCTAGTCTAAAAAATAAAATAAAATAAAATGCCACGAGACCCACTGATAAACAGGATTCTGCTGCTTTGGATAGTCTACTGCAGTAAAGTTCTCAAACATTTCAAGCTAATCTTAATGGGAAGATCTTTCAATGTGGCTCCTCAGCACATCTATAAAAACAGAATATTTCAGGAGAGCAGGCCTAACAGTTAAGTTCATAATTCAAATTAATCAGAAACTAAATATACTCTTTTTTCCAAGTAGATTCTTCTCAATTTAAATCTATGTTTTCCATGCACCTTTTTTTCTCACTTGAACTAGTGCAAAGAATGTGCTGAAATGCAAAACAAATTTGAAAGAGATATTTAAAACAGGTATTTTTATACCTATGCAAAGAGTAAATGAAGCAAACATAAAGCTACATCCTTTTTAATATTATGTGATTAGTATTTTCACATTTCTCAGTATATACAGTGCTAAATTACTGGGTGCATTGAAAAAATATTTATTATTTCATTCAACAGAAGTTTATTGAGCATCTACAGATTGAGAAGTGAAAATGGCAGATTCAGCAAAATACATATTAAATAAGAGGTGAGAGGTGTGATTAAAAGAAACAATAAGGGTTCTGACAAAGGGCATCAATAATTTTTTTGTCATTGTTGAGATGCAGTCTCACTCTGTCGCCCAGGCTGGAGTGCAGTGGTGTGATCTTGGCTCACTGCAACCTCCACCTCCTGGGTTCAAGTGGTTATTGTGCCTCAGCATCCTGAGTAGCTGGGATTACAGTTGTATGCCAACACACCAGGCTAATTTTTGTATTTTTAGTAGAGACAGGTTTTTGCTACTTTGGTCAGGCTGGCCTCAAACTCCTGGCCAGAGTTGCACCTGCCTTGGCTCCTGAAGTGTTGGGATTACAGGTGGGAGCCACTGCACTAGGCCAACAAGTTTTCTAAAACAGACTAAAATAACGTTTCTTTATTCAGATTAAATAAATTAGGTCAAGGACTAAAATAAATTGGTCAAGGAAGAAAGTATTATGAACACTAGACAACACATTTCAATTTATAAGGAGACTTAGGATAAAATGATCAACTGGGTAGTCAAATTAAATTACCATGAGGTCCACTTTCATCCTCAAAAGTTCATGATGTCCTAAGTTCTGTAATGTACCTCATGAACCAATACAAATATTTGCTTAAACATGTGTCAAATATCTCTGTAAGGACATAAAGAAAGCAAATAAAGAGGCTACCTGTGAGGAGAAATGGGGGAGGAGACCAGAAGACACAGGAGGAAAGGAATTTTATATGGTACACATTGTGTCTAATGTTTTCCTTTTTAATCATATGAAATGGAATCTGTTCAAAATGCGGATACATTAATAATTGCATAACATATATGGCACTGATTTTCATCAGAAAATTCAAGTGTGATATAAAATAGAGTCTATTCTATCTGACCTTTAAATGAAAGTTGGTACCACACTCACAAAAGACCATCGTGAAAATGCCCTGGAATCCAATGGTTTACCTAAGACACGACACTCATCATGGACACCAAGAAGTCAGGAGGGACAAGGGATAGCAACAAACAAGGAGAGGTGGTTACCTTCCGGTCGCAAGTTTTAGGACTCCCAGCAGTGTTCTGCTTGAGGAACCCAGCTGTGGTTGACCAGCGTGTGGGATTTTTCCTTGAAGGCTCTTCAGAGGAAAAATTATTATCACTGACAGAAGTGGAGAGGCCAATTAGAGCTGGGTCACTACTGCGTCGAACATGAAGAGGCATATCTGTAAACACAAAAGCACTATGCTGAAAAATAACATACTAATGTTGGTAGACTACATGTTAGGAGAATGTAGGGCAATCCTAAAGACCAAGGAACAGAATTACAATTTTTTAAAAGGGGACAGTGAGTCAGCATTCTAAATACAAATTTCTTTAGGTCCCTTAAAATACTACATGGCGAAAGAGGTGTGGTCAAGTGTCAGCTCCGAGCAAGACTGCCCAGGTTTGTATTTGGCCTTCACTCCTTATTATCTATGTGGCCCTGGCCAAGCTGCCTAACTGTTCTCTGCCTCTAGTCCTTTCCAACTCAAATGAAAATAAAACAGTACCTCTTTCATCAGGGTAACGTGAAGACTAAACGATATAAAGGGGATAAACAGTGTCTGACATATAGTGTGTACTCAGGAGACAGTAATATTATAATGACCATTACTGCTATCATTATCTCAATATTTCTAAATAATCATCACATATATCATTCAAAAAATAACTAATCTAAGCAAGTAAACAAATTTCATCTACCTTTTAATCATACCTGCTGGAATAAACGTACAGAATCTATATAGTTAACAAATAATTTATTGTATATTTCAAAGTAGCTAGAAGAGAATATTTGAAATTTTTCCAATATAAAAAAAGATAGATAATTGAGGTTTGAATATCCTCATTACCTTGATTTGACCATTACACACTGTATCAAAACATCATAAACTCTCCATAAATACATACAATTATGTATCAATTTTAAAAAATCTATGGAGTTTAGACATTTGGCTGCTCTATTGAAAAGTTTTGTTGAATAAAATGTTTATTCAATAAAGTATTATCAGAAAGTATAGTGCCCTAATGTATTATTTATACTGAAGACAGAAAATACTCGAAGTAATATGCTAATCTGCAGGTAGTTTCTGTCATATACTCACTTATACACACGAAAGGCAGTATTTTAGCAAACGCATTTGCATAGAAGAGTTTGCTTGCAATTGCGATAACAACATCAATAATAAACTCAGATGAACACCTGTATCATTATCAGTAGCACTGAGAACAGCCTGGCAAATATAATCACTGTCACAGCAGAGAAGAAACAGAAAACAAAAATGCAAAGCCAAGAAGAAAAGAGTCTGCAACAGCTGGAATCAGGACTGAAAGTTTCACTCAGCAACTGAGTGAAATCACTCAAAAATGTAAGACAAAATTTAAATTAAATTATGTTTAGAGTACTCTGTTTTTAAAAACTAGGATGTAGGTTAAGCATTTGTTTTAAAGCCTCTAACAACAGAGCTTTATTTGTTTTATTTTATTTTATTTTTTGAGACAGAGACTGGCTCTGTCACCCAGGCTGGAGTGTAGTGGCACAATCTCGGCTAACAGCAACCTCCGCCTGCTGGGTTAAAGTGATTCTCCTGCCTCAGCCTCCCGTAGCTACAGGCTACAAAAAGCATGAGCCACCAAGCCAGGCTAGTTTTTGTGCTTTTAGTAGAGACAGAGTTTCACCATGTTGGCTAGGCTGGTCTTTTAACTCCTGACCTCAGGTGATACACCCGACTCAGCCTCCCAAAGTGCTAGGATTACAGGTGTGAGCCACCACATCCGGCCTAACGACACAACTTTAACCAGAAAGTAGTAAATTCATTATTTATCCTAGGAGGGATAATTTTGAAACACTGGTGCACTGGTCAATGGTAAAAATATGGAGACCTTGAGGATACCAAACTAAAGACAAGCCATTTATATGCAGTGAAGGCTATATTTAAACCAATATATGAAAGCAAATTAAAACTAATCAGATAAAACAAAAGCATATGAAACAGAGTAATATCAAATTTAACACTGACTTCTACATCATGAGGATTGGATAACAACAACACAGTCTGAGCAACATTACCAGGGCAAAAATTTAGTCAGCTTCTAATTTAATAACGTTGGTACCTATCTTAATTTGATGAAAGAAATGTAAACATGATATTTTAATAATTACTGGATTTATCATGCCTTTGATGCCTTTGATGCTTATAATTTACACCCCAAAAAATAAAAATAAACACCAATAAGAATTATATAATCATTCTCACAAAAATACACATCTAAGAATCCATGCACATTAATATTCAATGACCTTACTATAAGGAAAGTTCTCTACCAAGAGGAAGTACAATTTCCAGAATCATCAAATTAAAAACTGTAAGCAAAAAAGTAACAAAATAGGGATGGGTGGGCAGGAAAAGACTAAATACTTCTAGACAATGTTGTTACTTAGACAAAGGTTCTGTTGCTTTCCAATTACAGGATTAATTGTTCAGTTGTTAAGTACCTCTGTACACCTCAAGTTCTCTCCCTCTTCCTCTCGCCCTTGTGTGTGTGTATGTCTACAAGAAGCACTATTAACTCAGAGGGGAAGGCCTTTAAAAAATGGCACAGACATAAGGACCAAAAGCAGTACCCACTATCTATATTAAAATAATCACGGCCGGGCGCGGTGGCTCAAGCCTGTAATCCCAGCACTTTGGGAGGCCGAGGCGGGTGGATCACGAGGTCAAGAGATCGAGACCATCCTGGTCAACATGGTGAAACCCCGTCTCTACTAAAAATACAAAAAATTAGCTGGGCATGGTGGTGCGTGCCTGTAATCCCAGCTACTCAGGAGGCTGAGGCAGGAGAATTGCCTGAACCCAGGAGGCGGAGGTTGCGGTGAGCCGAGATCGCGCCATTGCACTCCAGCCTGGGTAACAAGAGCGAAACTCCGTCTCAAAAAAAAAAAAAAAAAAAATCACATACAAGTATATTCCAACCCCCAATAAATTCAGGGACTAGATACTGAATTTGCTTGGTCACAATAAAACTGCTTACCCTACTTGTGTTTGAAATTTTCCTCAGGAGAATACATTGCATATATGATTTCGATTATATAAGTAATTAGGACCATCTTTTTCAGACTAGACACAAACATTGTGTTAATGTGTTAGTTTGCAATAGACAGACAAAAATAATTAGCATTTCTCTATATATACCTGTAGCTCTTGAAATAAAATGTGAACTTGGGGAAAGAGGGGATTTGAGAGGAGGTACATGTCGGAGCTCCAGACCCTGTGGGATGTCTCTTCAGGTGCGTGATGGAGCTCATGGAAAGGGTGCTGTTCGCATAAACTGCAATGTGAATGATGCTACAGGGAATGCTCTATCATGCAGCCCTTCTTCTGAGTTCTTCCAACATTAAACTTTTTGTTTGCATCTCAGTGATACTGATAAATTAAAATAAATATAGTCTGGATCTTCTATTTGCACTACCTAGTCACTGAGTACTCCCATGCAATTTCAAGTCCCACGTTTACATTTATGTCGACTGTCAAATTCAGGAAGGTGTCCTTGATTTGATTACTACGCTGATGAGAAAGAACAAAACCCAATAAAAGAAGTGAAGGAAGCCAGGTGCAGTGGCTCATGCCTATAATCCCAGCACTCTGGGAGGCTGAGTTTGAGGGATAGCTTGAGGCCAGGAGTTTGAGACCAGCCTGAGCAACATAGTTACCCCATTTCCTAAAAACAAAAGAAGGAAATCCTGTCATTTCTGACAACATAGATGAACCTGGAGGACATTATGTTAAGTGCAATAAGTCAGGCACATAGAATTACTGCATAACCTCACCTATATGTGGAATCCGAAAACACATCAAATTCCTAGAAGCAGAGAATAGAATGATAGTTACTAGGGATTTGGGGTGTGGGGAAAATGATGAGGAGATGTTGGCTAAAGGATCCAAAATTTTAGCTATACAAGAGGAATAAGCTAAAGAGATCTATTGGACAATAAGTTGACTATAAATTAATAATAACACATGATACACTTGAAAATTACTAAGAGAGTAGATTTTAGGTGTTCCTGGCACAAACAAAAATGATATATATGAGGTAATGCATATATTAATTAGCTCAATTTAACCATTCCACAATATATACATATTTCAAAATATGTTATACACATAAATATATACACTTTTTATTTGTCAATTAAAATGAATTTTAAAAATCTTTATTAGATAATTCTAACATCTCTGTCATCTAGGTCTTATCATCTATATTAGTAAGAAATTACTATAAACTAGATGGCTTAAAATATCAGCAATTTATTCTCTCATGGTTATTGAGGCTAGAAGTCTGAAATTAAAATGCTGGCATGGTCATATTCCCTCTGAAGGTGCTAGGGAAGAATCCTTCCTTGCCTGGTCTAGCTCCTGGTGGTTGCAGATAATCCTTTGGTGTTCTTTGGCATTTAGATACATACCTCCAGTTTCTGCCTCTGTCTCTCTCTTTTTTTTTTTTAATTTATTTAAGCCTCCCTCTGCCTGGGGAGGCTGCAGTGATGCATGAAATGCGCCTAAACAGGCCATCAGAGAGGCAGGAGCTAGTCCTGTCCAGGCTGCCTGTGCCTCTGTCTCCACAGGGCTTTCTTCCCTGTATGTGTGTATCCAAATTTCCCATATAAAGTCACCAGTCATATTGGATTTAGGACCTATTCTAGTCCCGTATAACACTTTTTTTTTGTTTTTTTGACAGCTCTGTTGTCCAGGCTGGAGTGCAGTGGTGTGGTCTCAGCTCACTGCAACCTCCGCCTCTCAGGTTCAAGAGATTCTTGTGCCTCAGTCTCCTGAGTAGCTGGGATTACAGGCCTGTGCCATCACGCATTGCTAATTTTTGTATTTTTAGTAGAGACAGGGATTCATTATGTTGGCCAGGCTGGTCTCAAACTCCTGACCTCAGATGATCCACCTGCCTCAGCCTCCCAAAATGCTGGGATTATAGCTGTGAGCCATCACTCCTGGCCCTGTATGACATCTTAACTTGATTTAGCTGCAAAGACCCTATTTCCAGATAAGATCACATTCATAGGTTCTGGATGAACATGAATTTTTGGGGGACATTATTCCGTCCAGTAAAGCATCTATTGATTGTCTGTTTTCAGTGAGTTTGAAATCTTCCTGGTTCTTGGTATGATGAGTGATTT